TCGCAGGAGGGGCAGAAACCTCCTGAGGGACCTCCTTGACCCACGAAATGGAAGGCCAAGAGAAAGGCTCAGCAGGACGGACAAAGATAAATCGGTCGATCCATTTAGGAAGATTGGAGGGGACGTCGTTGATGAAATGAGCACCATTACGACTCTTTAAATACAGGCCTCGACCTTGTTTAGAAGGGGCATAGCAGTAATGGAAGAAGGCAAGGTCAAATCGACCAAGGCGGACATGGCAAATAATGACAAAAGTGGTCATAAAACGGATAGCGTTAGGGGGAAGTTGATGAAGAGGAAGCCCGAACCACTCGCAGATCTGGAGAAGATCAGGATTCAGAGGGAAACGAAGACCAAGTTTAAACTGGATTTCGAAGAAAGTGTAGCAATCCTGTGGAGGATGGTCGAATTTGTCAGAGGGAGAGGACCTGAAGAACGCCCAACCAAGTGGTTGGCCGATTTTGTCGGGTTTGAACCAAGGATGAGAAAGAGAGGAAGAAGAAGTACGCTTGGAAAGTTTTTTGGTCGAGGATCGCTCGGGCGGCGAACTCGAAGAGGGAGGAACAGCGGGCTGCGGAGAATCGACCTCGCATTCCTCTGGCTCGTCTAACGCACCAAGGGGAGGTCGACGTTGGCGGAGAGGAACGTTGTCCATACTATCACCGGAGTTTGGAGAAGCGACGCGGGCGGTAAAAACGCGAGTGGGAACTGTATCGCCGGGGCGAAGGATAGAGAGAGGGACGGCTACGAGCGCAGAAGGTAGTATTTCAACTGAATCAGAGGAGGTCTCAGTGTCTGAAAAGAAAACCAAAACAAAAACAATGAGAACAAATATCAAGAAGAAGCTGTCGCAAGGAAGAAAGAGGGGAGGAGAAAGATTAGGGTTTTTGCGGGAGAGCAACCCCAAAACCAGGAGGAGAATTATAAAAGTAAAGGGGCGGAAATTTCAAAAAAATTTAAAGGAGAGACAAAATCCTCATCATTCAATAGACAAACAAGAGTATCCCAAGGGCAAATTCAACACAAGGCAAGCCAATTTGGAGCAATTCAGCAAGCAGATCGAGAACACCCAATATTGAAAATCCAAGAATATACAAAATAGGACTACAAAGAATATAAATTCAAGTGTAAAGAGACTTACTCATAACCGCGGATGGATAATTGATGAAAGTTTGAAGGGGCGCAGGAGAAACCGTCGAAAGAATAAGAGTTTTCGCAGAAGAGAGTTCTGGGCACAAAGTAATTCGAAAACTGAGAAGGTGGAAAAAGTTGAAAAATACACTAAGTAGGGAATTTATACTTTGGTGATTGAAGGGTGGAAAGATAAGGGCCGTCATGTTAAAGGTAGATCCAACGATGTGGAGTATTAATTTGCACGGAGCTCAAAACGGACGCGTTAGGCGAGGAGGCACAATAATTAAAGCGCCTGACACATCTGACAGTCGTGACGCGTGGCAGAAAATGGATACGACAGAGAGGACTTAAAGCAGATAACTTTATTTCTAGTAATTAATGGGGAATTATTCGAAAAAGTGAGCGGGAAGCTTACCAGCTGGTCGATATCTAACGAAGAACCATCCAGAGCGACGATAAATGCCAATTCACTCTTGGATCGAATCATTCAGACTCGACCAGAGTAGGGGGGACTAGATGATATGGGATATTATACCCACAAGGCTGAACCGGTCTGTTGACCGGTCGAGGAGGTCATATTATGAGGAAGCCAAAGAAATCGAGCAATTAACCAGTCGACCAAGCAAGGCTGTCGACCAAACTATCCTTCGACCAGATACGCGATCGAGCAACCTATTCGACCTCAGCAGGTCGATTACATCGAGGACTTAACACCACGCTGTTCGGCCTAGTCATAGGCGCGTGAAGGAAGCCTCTGCCCTAATTCCAGGAGAATATTTACCCCATGTGCAGGGGAACACGTGTCGAGAAAGCAGTGGTGGATAGCGATAACCACCTCTGACAGTCTACCCCATGTGCAGGAGGACACGCGTCCAAAGAGGATTGGTGCAGGCGATAGTGGCGACGGCTGCCTCTGACACACGCGTTTGGTGTGTACGGACGGGCAGTTAGGGCAGACAGCTCATCAAATCCGGGTAGCCCTAGGTCAGGTATCTCACCCCTATATAAAGGGAGTGAGCCTTTCTTCTTCAACACGATCATTTTACTACTTACTCTTGAGAATTGATTGAATACACACTGACTTAAGCTTCGGAGGCTCTTCACCGGAAAACCCCTCCGGTATAAGAGTTCTTTGTAGGTGCACGACGTTCAACCGGCGAGAAGGAAGGCGATTACTCAAGTTCCAGCCGGTCGAGGAGTTTTGTGTTACCACCTTGGAATTCTTATTTCAAATATATTTCAATCGGTGGAATTATCAAAGTCCAACGGAAATAACAATAGAAAACTCATTTTAACAGAATATTTTTGTTGGAATTTTCGTTGGAATTCATTGGAAAATTTCAACAAAAATAATTGCATTGAAATATCCATTGAATATGCCGTTGGAATTCCACTGAAGTATATTTCAACGATATATTTTTGTTGAAATTCTTATTTTCACATATATTTCAATCGTTGGAATTATCAAAGTCTCATGGAAATAACAATAGAAAACTCATTTCAACGAACATTTTTTGTTGGAATTTTCGTTAGAATTCATTAAAAAATTTCAACTAAAATAATTGCATTACAATATCCATAAGAATTGCTACTGGAATTCCACTTAATTATATTTCAATGGAATACTTTTGTTGAATTTTCGTTCTTATACATATTATTTGTCTTATGAGGGCCCCCCTCATGATTCCATACAAATATACCTACTAAAATTTATCATAAAATGATAAAAATTGACGTTGTTGGTAGTTAGTGAAAACTAAAAAAAAAAAAATAATAACAATCTTTAATTTACATTAATGAGAATACTGTTTTACATAATTACTAGTACAACTCCCGTATATTACACGGGTGTTTGTTAATTTTTTTTTTTTAAATTTAAAATTAATGAGAAAATATTCTAAATTTTATTTACTTTCTTACAAAAAATATATATTATTATGTATTTTAAAATGACACTTGTTACTTGTAGACTTACGTATGTTATATTATAGTAATTTTTATAACTTATATCATATAACTACTTGAAATATAATATATTAATTGATAAATAATTTTATTTTTTTAACTAATATAAAAAAAAATTATTATTGTTGTGAAATAAATGTAATTTATTTTTATTCATACATACAATACAATATGGATGTTAAATCGAAATCCATCAAGAGAAGATTAATTTGATATATTATATATGTAAAACCGATAAAAAAATAATTATTAACACATTTACAAACTAAAGGTTATAATAAGAATTAATATTAAAATGCAATTAATACATGTAACATGACCATAAATAATCAATATATTTACGGATAATTCGAACATAATTATTTTTGGATAGGAAATAATTTAAAATCTACCCAACTTAATAACGAAGCATGTAATTTTGCCACATAGGATCCCGAAGCATGCGAATCTGTCACCTAGTCTCAGCACGTTTTGAATTCGTATAGAAAGAGGAAGATGATATATTAATTAAATTAAATATGCATATGTATGATGATTGATATAGTAAGGTAGTGATTTAACAGTAATGCTAAAAAGCCAACTGTTGGCTCGGTTATGGAGCCAACAGCCAATGGGACAACTCCATGTGGGGTTGTCCCACATTGGAGTCATGTGGGACAGTCCCACATGGAGTTGTTCCATTAGTTGTTGGCTCCGTATCCAATAGTTGGCTCCTTAGCACTATTAAGTGATTTTTTTTTTTTTTTTTGGTACAAAGGAAGAGGAAGCGCCTAAGGAGCTAAAATGCAAATGGAACGTGGGTAAGCCACGCCAATTAGGTCATGTTGTAGCCAGTGCCGGACTCCATCCGGTGGGTCATGAAAGAAACGATATCCCAAAGGGCCTTCCGCCGCGAAGGAAGCCAGGAAGTCGGCTGCATAATTCGCTATTAAGGAACTATTACGTAAACCGTGGGAGGTTAAGGTGAAACACATCTTCCGTCAAACACTATTAAGTGATTTAAATATATACATGCCTTATGTCATCTCTTTCCTAGAACTCTCAATAGAATTAGCAAAGGACAGTAGGATTTGTTTGGCATATGCCACCTCAATCATTCACACTCCCAACATCCCCAATATCCAACACAACAAACAACTACCTTGATTTCTGTGAGGAACAACAACAAGATTCCTCTAAATCCCTCTCTTATATATATCAATCCCTCATCTTTTGAGTTCCAAAACCCATCCATCTGCTATATACATACATATATACACAAAGCCAAACAGGACCTATGAATTTCTTCTTCAAGTTCAAAGCCTGATTTTATATTCCAGTAGCTTCCTTTCCTTCTCTTGTCCTGAATTAATTAAGGTATGATATTTATTTTTTCTTTTTAATTTTTTTATTCTCATCTTAAATCATGTAAAAAAAAAAAAACAATTAAATTAATATGTTCTATTGGTTTTGTCGAATTTATTTTTTTTTTTTCCAATAAAATCAGTGGGAAATAATCTAAATTTAGTACTACATTATTTTTTTTTAACAAAAAATTTATAAATAAATTATAACTGTTCCTCTGAAAACGATGCCAAGCCATGCTGATAGATATTTTTTTTTTTCTTTTGGTATAATTATTATGATGGCCCCCAAACATTATGATCACTAGAAGAAATATTTTTCGGAAAAATAAATAAATAAATAAAAAGAACATGTGCCTTTTCACATCCATGGTCTTTATTATTAATGTGGTACTATACATTTTTATGTTATATAAAACTTATTACAATTCCTTCTAATATCTGCCATTTTATTTTATTTTATTTTATTTTTTTTCTTGCAGGTACCAAAAAAAGGAATTCCATATATATATCTACTAAAATTATAGCACAAAAAAAAAAAAAAAATTGTTTTTACAAATGGAGAAGCTTTTGAACCATTACGACAAAGAGTACTTGAAAATGGCCATGTTAAAGCACGAGGAAACATTTCGTGACCAGGTTGGATTATATTCATAAATTAAATTAAATTGAATTTTCGGTCAATGTTCGATATTTTTTTATTTTTTATTTATTTATTTTTTTTTTAATGTAGGTGTATGAGCTTCATCGACTCTACCGAATCCAAAAGGTGCTAATGAACGACATAGCGAAAAATAATCGGTACGCGACGACTTGCAGACGGCCCGAGGCCCGTTTATGTCTCGACCTGGAAAGGCCCGCCGGTTCGTACTATGTACCGGGCTCGGGTGATGAGCTCAGAGTCTCCGAAGCTGAGGATGACCACAATGACCTGGAGTTGACTTTAGGACCGAAAAGCTATTATCAGAATAAAATCAAAGCAGCCGGGCCGGGTCTCAGGTCGGACTCTGGGCCGAGCTTCTCGTCTTCGTCCTCCGGATCGAACCACATGAAGGGCCCGGAAATGCCGGTGCCGGCTAATAAAGATAGGTTAAACAGTTCTCCTTGGCTTTTCCAAGCCCTCAGCTTGAATATAACTTGAAATTTGATAACTGTTGATTTTGTGGACTGCTTCTTATCAACTGATTCTGCTGAATGTATGGGATCTTTTAATTTTAGTATTTTTTTTTCTTATGTTGTTTTAATTTACTATGATATGTAGGATATAATTAATTAAATAATCTTCTGTTTTTCTTGCTCTCATTTTGTTACTTGTTTATATTCATTTTCATGTTTCAACATTCATGAATTTAAAAAAAAAAAAAATAGAAAAAAAAAATAGCAGATATTGGTACAGGTTAGGCTGTTATATTTTTTTTCACATATTTTCAAATTAAAATATCGCAATATTTATTATTATTTAAAAAAAATATGATAGGTTGACTCGTCTAAGAAATACTATCTCCTATTTTTGTATAAATACTATTTTGAGTTTATCAACAATTAACTAAATAAATGACGTTTTAGATCTTTTGGACATATTTTTCCATTATTACTCTCATCTAGCTAATAATTACACTATCTTTTCATATTCACTTTTCATTTTTTTCTCAAAACATTTATCATTATCATCGTTAATAATGCGGGTTATTATTTTGCAAAATAAAAAAAAAAAATTCTTAATTATTGGGCACATTCTCAAAACGACACTTTTTAAAAATAGGAGGGAGTAAGATTTATGGTACAAAATTTGTAAATAAATAAAGTGGAGTAAAAAAAAAAGAACGAAATTAATTAGTTTCATATAATTGTTTGTGTTTCTAATCATTCTTTTTTTATTTTATAATATATATATATATATATATATATATATTTTGAGATTATTATGCAGTTAAATCAGATCTTTTTAGCTTGTAGATAGATAAACTACACAGAGGGGTCTTTTATGTGCACAAAAGATGACAAGCCAAAAAGCTGAGGACAGAAAAGAATCTTGAATTGTGTATTATTGAGAGGAGGGGGCCCCACTGTACTTGTGTTATATAGGTAGATTTTTCATTTAATTGTTGCTTAATAAAGACATAAGTTTCTGTAAAATCCCAAACAAAAGACTTGGAGGATCTGATCTGATCTAACTAAATAAGACCTGTTTTGCCTCCATCAATATTTGGGCCAAATTCTTTTGGAACACAAAAAAAAAAAACTTTAGTTTATATCATATTTGTATGATCTTCATTGACACCTAGCTAACACATGAATTTAAAACTTTTTTACCCATTAGTGTGCTGAGTTGAGGTGTTTGATGTTGTCTGCCACCAAATGAACATTAGATTCCACTTCCCAAATAAAAAAAAAAGGTAGTATATGGAAGGGTGATGTGCAAAATACATCTATGTACTTAGAACTATGTGTTTTGAAAAGTTGTTCCAACTTTAGATCGATTATTGGGTCACTCCCTACCACTACTTATTTTTTTTTTTCTTTTTTTAGAGGACTAGTAAAGTGCACGTGCGATGCACGTGGTAATGAATATTTTTGGCCGATAAGATAAATTAATTAAATAATTAAACATATGATTGCAAGAATAAAATAAAATATAGAACAAATAAACTCATAATATATTTTTTTCAAAAATAACATAATGATGTCGTAATATAAAAAGATTTAAATGACATGTTACAAACTCAACAAAAATTTATATAAAAAAATGAGTCAATAAAAAAACAAAAAATGAAATAACTAAATAAAGATCTAATGTATATTATAAATGCATGAGTATTTTTATCTATTTATAGTTTACTAAAAAGTTTGATTTATTCAACACTTAACTAGAAATGCTTTAGCCGAACATATAGTCAAACCAGAGAAGGACGCAAACTTTTGCAAGACTGAGGGGGCACAAATATAACCTTTACAAAGTGCAAAAAAAAAAATGATATTTATTCTCTGCATGTTCTTATATATTATATCACTAATAATTAAACAAATTCAAATCTCATTAAATATTTTTTTTTTCAAATACCAAATTTTTATCTTTTGCACTGGATATTCTTACAACGCCAGCATTCGCAGACTTTTTTATAATAAAGATAAATATTTATTATTTAAAAATCAATGAAAAACAACAATTTAGTAGCTAATTTAAACTTATAATTATAATTTTAAGAACACCTAAATTCAATATGTATCAAAATCAATGTTGATTTTTGCGGAAAATCGATTTAACTCATTTATATATGTTGCCTACAACATAGTATAAATACCAAATGTAAACAACTTAATTTTTTTTTTTTAAAAAATCTCTTGTAATTATTTTTCAATATAATTATATATGTTATAGTATTTTTTTTTTTAATTGCACAGGGCCTGTGCCCCTACGGTGCCTGCCTAGGTCCGCCCCTGAGTCAAATTTCATAATTGATCATTATAAGGTATTTTGTACGAACATTTCATGAATATCTATGTGAAATAGTAATTGAAATTCTTGAATTTTTTTAATCATTTTATAAACTACTACATTACTCTCTCTCTCTCTCTCTCTCTCTCTCTCTCTCTCTCTCTCTCTCTCTCTCTCTCTCTCTCTCTCTCTCTCTCTCGCCCTCTTTTTCTCTCCTCATATCGACAAATTGGTACATATCCTATGAGGTGGGAACTAATTTCATTTATAAATAAAAATTGATCTTTCAAAATCATGTACTTTTCCGAAAAGACGCTAAACTGTTTTTAATATCATCACACATTACATGAAAGTACATACTCTAAAGTAATTGCTCATATTATCGAGCACAATACACAATTAAGATTGTAAATGTTCAAATTAAAAAGTAACAACTTATTCAAACATTTACAAATATTTTGATCAGAATCGAATATTCCCTTTTCAGTATTATTTATTTGAAAGACAAACAAACTACATAACCTATTATTTGCAAATCACCATTTTAGTTGTCGCAACGATTTTAGAGTTAATTGTCTTAATACCTTTCACAATCGATCGAATTTGTAATATCGAGAAGCATAACATTTGTCAAAATATTTAATATGAGAAGAATATGAATTCTATTATATTATGGTACTCTTAGTCATATGTGAACTTTATTATTATGACGTCATTATTAAAGTTTCTGGTGCATATTGTGATAATATGGAATCATTATTTATGAGAACCAATTTCTTATAGA